ATGTTTTTTTTTTTTAAAATCTGTTGCAATCTCCTCACATCTCTCTCTCTCTCTCTCTCTTTCTCTCTCTTTTTCTCTCTCTCTCTCTTTATTTGCTTATGGTTTATTGACCTGAGCAATACCATAAGAGTCACGGATAATGACCTCAATCTGTGATGGAGTCATGCCTTTCTTTGCTAACATACAGATCTTCTATTCAACCTATAAGATCATAAGAAATTTAAGTAGAAATATGATTAATCAGCGACTTTCACAACTTTCAATAATTAAAACCCAAAAAACAATAAATGAATAAAAACAAAATACGACAAACTCAGTTCGTTGATGCATATTATGTGTATATATATCGAACTCACGACAGTTTTGATTAGTTTGGTGGAGTAAGATCCGACACAGACAGCGGAGATACGATGAAAGGCAAATCTGTAGGAAGATCCAAGCCGTTGATTGAAAAATTGCTAACCGATCCACTGAGATCTTGAACCAACTGAGAGGGGTTCACTTGCGAGGCAGAACCAAAGTGGAATTATGAATGAAGGCCCACCAAAGCTTCAATAACTCTAGATCTGAGGCGGCACAGTTTGATGACGCGGATAAAGATCAGATCTGAGTCATCATAATAATCACAGAGAGATAGAAAAAAGAGAGAGATTATTAGCTGTCGCCAGGCGGTGCTACGGTGGTGTCTCCGAAGCCACGGAAGAGAATGGTGTTGAATAGAGAAAATGTAAAAGTGGAAAAAAGCGAGGAGACGACAATAACGAAGTAACGACGACGATCTCGAGAAAGAGAGGAGATGGTTGATCACAGGAGAAAAGAGAGAGAAAAGAAATAGAGAGGAGGTTGTAGGGATGACAATTTAAACCCGGTTCCACAGGGACCTGACCCCCCGACGCCGATTAGAACAGGTTTTTCTCGAAAAATACTCCCTGTAGGGCCGGGGATGGTATTAAAAATTAAATCCCCAATGATTTTCGGGCTGGGGACGGGGATAAGTTCCCGAACCCCGGCCCTAGTCCGCCCTTGCCCCCGCCCCCGAATAATCCCCGAACATGGCCCATATATATAATATATTTATAAATTTCATTTTCAGCCTTCCATTCATTTTCAGCCTGTTTTTCATTGAATCCCTCGTATATCTCTCTCTCTCTACTCCACTGCCAATCTTCACTTGCTACTCTTCTCCACTACCGATCTTCACTCGCCACCAACAATCTTCTTTCTCTCAGCGTCTCTCTTTCTTTCTCACTACCACCGTCGTCGCACACCACCGATCCCGCTACCACCGTCGTCGCACACCACCGATCCTGCCACCAACGTCATCGCACACCACCGATCGCCATCATCCGTTGCACAACACTTCTACCACAGCACCACCGATCGCCATCTTCATTCGCTTCTGTGTTGTGGTTTTTTTGAACAGATCGATGATTTTTTTTTGAAAAATCTTGATCAATTTATATATATCTATATATATATATGGATTCAGATTTGATTTGTTGTTAGGGTTTTATCTGTTGAACATATCTAAATTTTTTCTGTTAGGGTTTTGACAGATCTGTGGTTGTTTTGAACAGATTTATGATTTTTTTGAACAGATCTGTGGTTCTATATTCTCTCTCCTCTGTTCTTCATCTTCTTTGTTGATTGTTGTTGTTTTGTACAGGGATTATTTAGGGTCGAGGAAACCCAATCCCCGTTAGGGGACAAGGGCGAGGGGTGGATGGGTTCCCCACTAGGGATAAGGGCCGAGGACGGGGAATTTCGTAGCTTCATGGATCGGAAATGGAGAGTGTAGTCTCCAGCCCCGCCCTCGCCCCTGCCCCCACCCCGTTGCCATTCCTAGGAGGGTAGGTTAGGTTCGCGTGTACACCATATATATACATGGGTGATTTGGTCATTTTGCGGGAACTTGTCCATATGAACAAAGTATTTTAGAGTGTGGGTTTTTGGACAAAAAAGTTCAAAATTGGATTTATGGACTGAATGCCTTATTTTCGTCGATTCTACTTACCAAAAATAAATAAATGATTTGTATTAAAAACAAATCAAATAATTAAGTTTTAAATGGTTAGATAAATAGCTTGAAGAGCTCTCATTTTTCAAAAGCTCTTCAAGCTCCTATGAGTGAGTCTCGAAAAAAGAGATATGAAATGATTACTTTTTTTTTTTCATGGAGCTTTGATGAGTAGTAGGTATTTATACACCCCCAAGATTGGCTTATGGTTTAAGCAACTGATTGTAGTGATGCCACTTATCCAAGCACTACTACAAAAACAAATAAAGATCACACTTTTTTTGTGTGATGCATGTTATTTAATCACACCTTTTAAGTTTTATTAAAGTGTGATCTTTGGGAGTGTGATTAAAAGGGGTCATTTTTAATCACACTTTTTAAGTGTGCTTAATAACATCTAGATCACACCTTTTAAGTGTGATTAAAAATATTTAGATCACATCTTTTAAGTGTGATTAAAAATATTTACATCACACCTTTCAAGTGTGATTAAAAATATTTACATCACACCTTTTAAGTGCGATCTTTGGAATCATTTTTAATCACACTTTTTAAGTGTGATTAATAACATTTAGATCACACTTTTTAAGTGTGATTAATAACATTTAGATTACATCTTTTAAGTGTGATTAAAAATATTTACAGCACATCTTTTAAGTGTGATTAATAACTAATAAAATCTTTGATAAAAAAAGGATTCGACATATTTGAAAAATAATCAATATTATTTTTGTATGTACATTTGAAGAATGTAATACACACTATATACTATATTTTGAATCATAACCACATATTGAATAGAATAACGTCATATATTTCATAAATAGAAATTAAATATTCAAAAGTATATACAAAAGAATTAAATAAAAAAAAATTAACTGTGTTTACATATATTAAAAAATGAAAAAACTTAAAAAACTAAGTTCTTTAATTCTTGGACCATATTTTGCATCTCTCCAAAAAATTTCTGACCTGAAAAATGAAAACACAAATTAATCCAAAAACCGCTGATGCATATGAATAAACTAAAAAGTTAATTCAGGAAACCAAAATAGGAACATTAATCATTTCTGCTTGATCTTAATTCAGCATAAAGGCTAAAATCTCCACAGAAAAGTGCCTACAAGCAGCAGTAAGAGAAACGAAAAGAGAGAGAGTGTCTAATTGATAATTTCCAAATTAGGAAAGTTATATACGAAAGCAACAATATTCCGTAGTTTGTTGACTAAAAATATATGAAAGCAACAAAACAAAAACAAAAAAAACCTTGTTTTCTCTTTGCCATGATCCAACATTTCCTGGTGCAGCCAACCCCACAAAAGCAAAGTTCGCGGTCATAAGTTGTTCATTAATGTACCTAAAAAAAAAAATTTATATCAGATTCAATATCATTATACACTTGATAATGATGAAGAAGATAGTGTAGTTGAGCTAGTAGAGGTAGTTACTTGTCACGAACTAGTAATCGGCCACTAACTGTACCCCGTTGATCAGCATGAGGGAAGTCTTCTGAAAGAGGGAAATCATATGGCCAGCTTTGGGTTTCTATCAACATTTGAATCTATGCATATGAGATGAGAATGTTAATTTTGTTTGTACTGATTAGATTTTATGTTGTCAAAAATTTCATGCCCAAAGTAGTACCTGTTCTTTGGCATCTTCCCAAAGTGTTAGGGCATCCTCTTCGACTGAAACTGAGTTTAGATAGATCAAAACAGGGCCAAACACCTTCTTCCATGGCTCACCATCTCGCAATTTTATTGTCAGATTGTCCCCAGCATAATGGGTGCTGAAAAACATCTGAAGATAAATAACACAATCCTTTAACATTAACATCTAGTAGTAAGGAAATTTGTAAAAATTTATTTATATATAACATTTTCCACTTATTGAAAGTGCAAGGTTGTGCCTCAATAGGATAGATTTAAGTAGTAGGTCATGTGCTTAACTGGAAAGTTATGCTCTATTCTCCATCAATTCCTTTTTCAGTCCAATTGTTGTGAAGTAGTTTTTCCTATAGATGTCATCATCATAATACAAAACAATATTTGTTCTTTTAGGCTTCGTTTGGGAAGTGGGAATTGGTCAAGAATTTGCATCTACATATATCACTTTTTTCGTTTTTTTTTTCTTGTCATGAAATTCATTTTGTAAATGGGCCACTGTGTTGGGCCAGTGAGTAAAATTGATGCCATTTGAAAGTGTGCTCTCTTGCAAAACATGATATCTGAAGTGATTAATAGCAAAGGATTGTGCAAAGGGAACAATATCGGATACTTACAAATAAGGTGGTTGGGCCAACATGCGAGGTGAGATCTTGCTTGACAGGGCCACCTGTACGGAACTCATCGCTGGGTGTGATCATCCAGAATCGAACAGCCGGGTTGGAGCATATCCACCCATGAACCCGATTGTCTTTGTCATCACATGAATATTGGTACTTATCATCCACCTACATAGCACAACATCAAAAAAGAAAAAAAACTAGCATATCTAACTACACAAATGCAATCTTTCCTCTTGTGATTGTCAAGTCTTCATGAAGTAACAAAAATATCAAGAAGTTAACACTCTTGATGAATCACAAAAGGGCATTTTTGTCAATTCACAAAACCATTCCCACAAAACTTAGGAAATAGGACTGTCTTAGCAATAACTAGTAGGTGAATGAAAAATGGTCAAGCTTACCTCCCCAGTGAGCTCTGGATTGCTTGGATTTGTCAACATAACAGCTTTAGGGTAGTCAAGGACTAGGCCAGCTTCACGGTCTTGTGGCGTTGGCATGATCCTTTGCCTTTCATCCGATATAGCCATGTACTGAAACCTAGTCATGTATCATATCAAGATTAAATTTTCCTTAAATTACTCTGTTCATGCCAAACCTAGTCAACAATTTAGAATAGCAGGACCATAACAATCATATATGTCTTACAGGCTTTCTTCAAGCTTGAATACAATCCTCCCTTGGCAGATGTTAATGTCAGTCCATCCCTCGGAGTGTTCAAGTATTGCATACGAGCAGAAATCGGGGTATCCACGCAGCATTATAAACCTGCAAATAATGTTTACAAAATCAACGTTGACAGATTAAAAATAAGCAGAACTTGTTAAGATCTGTTTGGCTGCAAATTAAGCTGATGCTAAATGCTTTCAATGAACCTTTTGTCTACATTCAGGGGCATTCCTATGTCATTTAGGAATGAATTCCATGTTCTTGTAAAAGAAATCTCTATTTGATTTTCATCTTCCATTACAACACTATAACGTGTCCCTTCTAGCCTGCATGAAAACAATTCAAGTGGTTTAATTCATCTTTAGTGTATGGTTATATTATTTTACATAATAGGTCTAATCTACATAAGGGAAAAAAAAATTACCAGTCATATTTGCCACCAAGATGTGCTGGATCGTCCCAAACGACATCCCAATACCTAAACTCGGTTTAATCCAATCAAACAAAGTGCAAATGGAGATTTTGAGTTAATTGTACTTGATTAAATGCAGTAGAAGAGCTAATCTAAAGAACCAACTTAAAAAAATTTACTCGTGTACAATCAGTGTAATTTCGTTCCTTTCACCATAAAATCAGTCTTTTGTACTAATTGAAGAGTGCTTTTGTCTAAGAGTTCATGGCATGTTTGATTGGAAGGATTAAAGCATAGGATTGAGATTATTAATCCGTGGGCCCAATCATCCTATGTTTGTTTTGACATTTTAGTTTAGGATTATTAATCCAATGGATAATTAATCCAACAAATTTGTAGGATTATTAGTAATGGGGTAGGGGTGGGATAACTAATACCACGTTACAGGGTCTCAAGAATCACATGACCCATCCAAATAGTTTGTATTTTGTTGGTTTCTCTTCATTTTGTTTGTTTCTTTTCTTGGTGGATCACATTAACAAAAAGGATCTGCTATAATGTTTTTGGAGAAGTTTGAGATATCAGAATTAGGGTCTGAGAATTTACTCAGAATAGAGATGTATGGTGGAGATTAAATTCATAAAGTGTGAGGTCCACGAGTGAAATAAATTTAAATCATTAATTGTTATTTTTAAATAAATTCTGAATTTATAATATTGCCGAATTTTTTATTTTTATTTTTTTAGAGCTCTCCTTCCTTCCTCTTAGGATAGTTTGATGTCAGAGATTTTCGGATGTAAAGAAAAACCACCACTGTTACGGATTATATAAACAAGCATTATACCAATCCATACAAGTTAAGATATATGAACCAAGAGTAACACATTTTCTACATTGTATATAGCCAGAGCTATTTTGGAGATACAAAAATACAATAAATAGTGTTTGGTGTAGTTTAGTTAAAAATTCATAATTTAAAAGTAGAAGCTATAAGTATTTGGGTGATGATACATAATTCTAATACTAGAGCTCGGAGCTCTAGTGAGGTGGAAGAGAGAGAGAGAGTAGAGAGAGATAAATAGAGGAGTGTGGGCTCCACCTTCACATGAGCACTCTCCACATCATTAGAGCTGCATTAGAACTCTCAAGGTAATGATATATAGCTCTAATACTAGAACTCTAAATGGATTTCTAGTGAGGTGAAAGAGAGAGAGTAGAGAGAGATAGATAGAGGAGTGTGAGTCCCACATTCACATGAGCACGCTCCAGAAATCAACTATTTTTAGTTATTTTTAACTTATATATTATAAACAAAAACTCTACTAAATAATCTAACACAGAGATTCTCAAAATAAAAAATTTAAAACTATTCAAATAAACTACTTTAAACAGTCCCAATAGCAGGAAGAAGTTCCATTAAAATTGAAGCATCTAATTTTTTTGCAAGGACATGGTCACATGTATGCATTGCTAGGCGTGAAATGTTCTCTAGGCTACAGCTATCCTGTTCTCACTTTCAGATAAGCACGGGACAAATCTTTTTTTTTTTTTACTTTTTGATTTTTTTTTGGGGGGGTTTATATTGTAGAGTGTTGCTAATAGTATTACCTTGCTTGTTTTCACTTTTCAAAAAATACTTTTCAGAAAATTTTACTTTCTTATTTTTTGTGTTTTTTTGTTTTTACTGAATTTTTTTAATATTTTAAGCAATTTTTTTACTTTTTAAA